GTGGACGGTTATTGTAGACTTTATTTGTAAATATTCCACTGCTGCCGGGAATTTTAATCTTTTTGTGTGTAGCTCACATGCTTGTTAACATGAATGAAGACTAGACCGAACTACTTCTCTAGCAGTTACATTTTTCAAAGTCTTGGTTTAAAGCTCAAGAATCTTTGATGTTATGGTGTGGATGTCCACTTGGAACAATGTGTAACTCATGATGTCTGAACGCTTATCGTTTCTTGCTATCAAACATCATTTTCTTTTAGGTATTACTAGTGAATATGCAACTTTACACATGAAATAAATATCATGAGTACCATAGGTGAAAAAGCCTTTCACAGTTGAATGAGTGGTCACTGGATAAGAACTAAACTTTTGAACTTTAGTAATTAAAAATGATTATAATTCACATAAATTGATATCTAATTTCATGTTACTCATTTTGAGCACTGGTCGAAATCGATAGTTTTGCAATATATTTCACCAAGTTTGGAAGCACATAATCACAATTCAGTTTTGGTTGTATTGTGTTCTCTGAGCTGGATTGTTTAATCATGAAGCTTTCATCGTCTTTCTGGACGACATCATCATCCCTAACTTCAGCTCAGAGAACACAATACAACCAAGACCATCCACCTGAGCTACAGATATTCTCCATTATCTCACAATTCAGTTTGAGTGGTATGAGGAGGATGCAGGTGACCTGTAGGGGACCAATATACCTTTGTACACCAATATAAACTTTTATCTCCTTTGATAACTTACTAATATACACTAAAAATTGCATGGCAATAAGTGAACTTTAAGGTCACTTGTTCTACATCACTGAATGAAAAATTATTTTTGAACAGTTTTTGAGTTCAGGTTGTATTACATTTAAATCATTAAAAAGTATTATGTTTTAACATAATGGCATTGGTAAATGTGACTTCATTCATCTACAAATTCACTTTGGTAAACTTCACCAGTTAGGACTTAGTAGCTACGTTGTCCTCTGTCTCACTACCAGTTTATGTACATAATTTATTCTTATCAGGAGTTAGACATGATCTAAATAGTTGAGTGATAAAGTCTTTGGTTTTAACAATCATTTATGTAAGTTCAGAGAATCAAGACAACTTCAATTTCTTCGTGACTATTTATATACCATGTTGATGAATGCAGATAAGGAAGAAACATAGGTTAAGGGCTGCTGAATGACTTGGATTAGCTAGAGCTGGTTGGATGCTGACAAAATCTCAGCTTGAATACAAAGGACCCGTTTGGCTTTTGTCAACCTGTGTCATCTGTGGTGTCGACACGATATCCGAATACTTATTAAAAGACGAGCATGCTGCTCTGCAGTTCGCTCTGTCCTGTTATACGGCTGTGAGACATGGTCGTTAAAAGTGCAAGACATGAAACGTCTTCACGTTTTTCATCATAAATGTCTTTGTAGCATAGCTGACGTATGATAAAATCACCATATGAGCAGTGTCCAGTTTAGCCGAAAGGTGCTAGGCAAGGAAGGGAAGGCGCTCAATGGGGTTGTGAACTTTCATCGTTTGAGGTGGACTGGACATGTGCTACGCATGCCCAGCTGCTTACCCCGAAGTCTCTTAAAGTTGGATTAGGTTAGGAGAGGCTTTGGGGGTGATCAGACCAAGACGAAACATCAATGCATGAAGTCTCTGGCTGTTGGTTGAACCGTGTAGAGAAGTGCAGACTAACTAAATGGGGTCCCGGAGACGATAGGAAACAGTGGTTTAGGACTCTTGGTGAAATGGCTGAACATCAGTCACAGTCACGCAGATATATTCACTCATGGACACTTTCGAAGGCTTGCATGTTTTGACCAACCCTCATTTTTAATTCCTTCTCCTTCCACACACTTTTGTCTACTTTGGTATCAGTCTTTCCTATCCACCTATTCTTTGTTATACTACTGTGAAGTATGGTAACTTGAGCTGATTCACTTGTGTACGAGGTTTTACGATGACTTTGTCTGTATGTCTACTGAATGACTCCTAACATATTACACTTTTCCAACTGACTTGCAAATACTCATAAAACAAAAAGGATTCAGTGGAGGGTTATTTCTTTTCTAGAGAGCGTCTGCAGACGCTTAGTGCAGCCAATAAACCCTACTCAGCAACAGAAGGTGAAGGGAAGAAGCCAAAAATGGCGGCTTTGCATCGATGAAAGCTGCTGACTTTACTGAGTGTATGATATAAGGAACGGATCAGATTCCATTGTCTTTCAAATGTAGGAGTTCGCTGGCTGCTCTTTCCTTGTAAGTTTTACGGTGGGTAGGTATTTTCAGTGTTTCGTTTCAATGTCTTGTCAGGTGTACGTCAATAAAGGATCTTTCCAAGTTCGATTCCTTCTCTAATCTGAACTGGGTTGCAGGATAACATCTATTGAGAAGATAATACAATATCTTCTAAATTATCTGTACCATTATATATTATGCAGGTATCATCCATCTATCGTTTGCAGAACTCAAAATGAATGTTTATTTTGCCAAGTTATGTGTTTTAAAGCTTGAAGACAAATAAGTCTGCAAGCAGTGAGCCTATTGGCGAAACCATAAGTATATCATCCTTTTGTCTGCATATTTCACCACTCACAACAGCTTCTTTAGATACCGAATATATGTGTAATACCTAATTCATTAGAATCAACATATTAATATGTGTTACATAATGGTGTTAGTCAGTGGGACATTCATAAAAAATGAGACTACAGCTAAGGAGAACTTTATTTTACCAAACATTATCAATACAATTAACAAAACCAAAAGAACCAGGGAGTTACTGAAAAGAGACGTGTTTTGTGATTGGCTCCGAAAGCTTGATTAGCTACTTCACAACGCATTCGTAAGGTGAACCTTTCATATCAGAGATCGTGGAGAAATGTATTCCCATTATGTACCTTTGGTAATCCATACAGTTGGAGAATATTTGATTCAGAAAGATGCATGGATTCAAACACTTTGAAATCAGTAAAATAATCTGTCTTCAATTTTTGAGAAGTATTCATTAATCTCTATTGAACTTGTTCTGTTTTATTCTTCAGGTTAATAGACTACATAAATTTTGCCTCTTTAGATGTGATCATTAGCCTCTTTTACCTATCTAGGCAGCATCGTTTCAACTACAGACGACGACGTGAAAGCCAGCCACGGTCGGAAACACAGCAAGATAGGCCTTCCTGCATTAACCTGAAACCAGTGTGGAGATCTTCTGCACTGCACTGCACTGCACTGCACTGCACTGCACTGCACTGCACTCCACTGCACTGCACTGCACTGCACTGCACTGCACTGCACTGCACTGCACTGCACTCCACTGCACTCCACTGCACTCCACTGCACTCCACTGCACTCCACTGCACTCCACTCCACTCCACTCAGCATAAAGCGTGAACAACATCCCGATTTTCAACAACAATTCAGTCAAGTTAGTCAGTACTTCTGTGAGATGCTTGAGAGACTTGGCGACTCACCAAAAGCATTTCCAACAAACTGCAGACATTCATCAACAACTGCTGTCTACACTGGCTCGTTACTGAAGCTCAGATGGATTGCCAGGATAATAAGAATAAGCAAGGAGTAAGTGTGGCTGGCTAGCTGGCTGGCTGGCTGGCAACGAACCAACAAAGCAAGAAGCTATCACTCAACTAATATGTACTGGAAGGAAGTGGAGATGGATTGGACTGGGCATACACTGAGAAGACTGACTGGGGACATCATGCGCCAGATCAGGTTGTCGAGTGGGACCCCGATGGGAAACGATGAGTTGTGTGTTTGAGGTTAGGGTGACATGGAGGAGGTGGTGTGAGGAAGAAATGAGAGTTTGTGGGCAGTCGTGGAGTCAGGTTGAAAAGATTGTAGAGAAGAGAGTGGAATGGAGATATGCTACTGAAGCCCTATTTTCCATTAGGAACCCAAGGGACGAATGATAATAGATGTGATCATCACGACTCACCGTTTCAGGACATGAACTTTGATAAAGTCTTGTGACCATAATCCCCTTGTTGATCATCAATCTTCTAAGTTCTTTGTAGTGTTACTTAGTCAACACAGGCTAATCTGGTTTGAATTTTAAAACTTGTGGCGACTATGTAGAATTGTTGATGTGAAGTGCGTCGACTGCTCTTCAGATGCTAGTACTCAAAGACGGATTTGTATTTCAGACTAAAGTCTACTGATGTTTGAAGATTTAACTCGGAATTTTAGACCTATATATATTGTCTGTAACTGACGTGCTAATAGTTTTATGTTTGATAAAATGAAGACATATTCTCAAGGTTGCTCGAGGACTTTCGCTTATTGTTGAAGGTTTCTTATGAGCGCTTTAATAACTCTAAGTCTTATCACAGTGACTATCTAATATCGTATATTCTCTGAAGAGTCAGTAGAGATCTAGTTCAAGATCTTGAACCAAATAGGATCTTACGTTGACATTTCGTTCTGTTTCAGATATACACGGTTGGACGGCATGTATGTGAATCGTTCTATGACGTTTGATTGTTCTGCAATTAGGTTAAATATAGCTCAGTAGAAGTGCGTTTCAATATAGCAGTCACTCTTAGACCGAATCTTCGTTTTCATTAACTGTAAGTTCGAGAAGTTGGCGTATTATGATTGTGAATAGTCATTTGGTCATTAGAGTGAACTCGAAACCGAAACCGACGAGACTTCTAGGAAAACATACCTACTGTAACTTTGATAAATGTAGTAGCGAAATTTCTATGCTTTGGACATAGAATAACATTACTAGAGAACAAATCGGTCATTCAAAGTTAATTAGCAATTATACTACATCTCTCCTAATGGTACTTATGCAGAAATGAAAGCCTGAGAAATCCTTAGGTAAGTTTAGCATTGTACCTTTTACAGAGTATTATTTTACTTGGTATTTTTCTAGAAACATCCAGAAGTTTCTCTGGTATAACATCAGAAATACTTTTGGCCATTCATTCATCTGTTTGTCCTTATATTTATTATTCATCTTTTTTTTTAGCCTTTAACAAGTTACCCAGATCATGGAGTGGAATGACACTTACTCTATTTTGGCATGGATTTTGTCTTCTATGTATCATTGCTTATGTAATGGGTACATCAGTATTGATTTTTAAACAGTACACTAACAATAATATAAAATATAAACCATATTCAAAGTTCAATGAAAATCAAACTATCTATTGTGATTTAGATCCAAAATTATGTGAATATTTTGATACGAAATTTCAATATCCAGTTGAATGGTCATCTGTTCAATTAACATCAAAGATTTTCAATGAATCAGTAATATTACTGACAGATCATATAAATGCTCATTATATAAAATCGTTTAAACTTCAAACAAACGATTGGAATTTCATTACATTAGACTGTAATGTTGAAGTAGATGTTGGTGATACTAGTGGTAATAACAATGATAGAAGACTATTTAATGATATGCCTGTAATGGAATTAGGATTTTTAACATTCAGTCAAAAGTCATTGCTACAAATGAATGCATATTTAAAGGTATGTTTTGAATTATTACAACTCTTTACTCTATCTATATCTTCTCATTGGTGTATTGAATATCTCAATTCTCAACATCTATCATTTATTCATTTTCTTGGTCTATGGGGATTGATTCATTTCAGTTCAATATTCATTATAAGTTGACATCAGTTGGAGAATCGTTGAGAACTTAGGAGCACTAGACAACTGTTTCATCACGGTACAGGACTCTTTAGTAGTGCACACCAATGACCCCGCCACAGATAAAATCCAGAACCTTTAGTTTTCACGATGAACACGTTACCAATGAGCCATTCGTTCAGATCCCAATGAATAGTATTGAATTTCAGTCAAAACCGTAGATGTTATATTGTATCTATCTATCTATCACGGAAATTCAGTTTAACAGCCTGATTTCACTGAACTACCATAATATTTTCTTTGTTCACCCTTCGAAAAGTACAATGAATACATAATGATTAGTGGCAAATTGAGAATACCGTCAAAAGACATTCTAACAACTGCTGACATTGCTCATTCACTTTCCACATTTCATTGAAAGCTACCCTTCCAAACAAAATATAGATAGGATTTTGAGGGAGTTGTGGAGATTTGGAAATATTTCAAGTTGTTATTCATGGTAGACTGACATCAGTAGGAGGAAAAAAGGAAACTTGGGAGCACTGGACAGCTGGTTCGTCCTAGTATGGGACTGCTCAGCAGTGCGCACCCATGACCCCTCCAGGAAGCGAGCCCGTGACCTTCAGGTTCCGTTGCCAGCACGTTACCATTGAGCCACTGGATCGGAATCCAATGGTCCATATTTCCAACTTCTATTAGCTCACGATATAACGCAACCGCCACCCAACGTCATCTTTAAGTATCTGTCCTTACTACCATCAGGCTTTGACTCTACCGGTCACGACTTCTCATTGGAACTTCGGGAATACTTCTCGAAGCTAGTCACCAATGAGCGCCAGTTCATTTGAATTTTGAGGGAGTTGTCCAGTGCTCCCAACTGGAAAAAATATAGATAGTTTAAATGATCATTTCACTAGTTGTTAGGATAGTCTTTAGAATCAGTTGTAGATAATTACCCTGAATGGGCTCATTCTACATCAAAAGAGACAGAGTACTTTATTTTTTTCAACTGATTTCAAAGTTAAAAATAGTTTAACTTGAGGAATGCAAATTTAATAAAGGTGATCGTATGTTTGTTTCTTTGTTTATTGATAATATTCTACTAAATCAGTTAGTATTTTATACAAACTTTCGGATGACTACATTTCCTGTATGTCTATCGACATTGCTACGGTTTCCTAAGGGACGTTTCTTCGCTAAATTCTTCTTATTCAGAGGTATGGATTCGAATGATGAAGTTTATGGCTATAACTACAGTATTATTGAAGACGCATTACATCTACTTGTATTCGCACCTAATGAATGACTATGACAATAAGATACTTTAATAATAATAGTAAAGCAGATTTTTTTAAGACAAGAAGTAAGCACATGGATTAGTCACCGGAAAGCGACCAATTTCACATCGTCTAGTCCTGAGTACTGACTGAATTCAGTTGATCATTTTGCATTGTGGACACCAAGTTGCGGGCCTCCCCATTGCAGTTTATTTTGATGTTTGTTAGTACTTTGGAAGTGATCCGCAAGAAGTCTCGCTTAACCATAGTTTCGCGCTTGTTGAGACTCTTCATCAAGCCGTATCTGCAACCTAGAAGGAGAAGGTTTCAGAGTGGTTAGATCTAGACGTGGCACCATCTGATGAAGTCTTTTTCTGTTAGTCTGAGTCATGTGGGGAGATGCAGACTGAATGGTTGGGGTCCACGCGATGGGATGAATCAGGGGTTGAAGACTCTTGGTGACATGGTTGAAAACCGGTCGCAGTGGCGCAGATGTATCCACTGCTTGACATCTTTTAAAGCTTGAATGTTTACACTAACTATTATCTTCAAACTGTTTATTTCCTCACACTACTTTATCTACTCTGATATCACCTTTTTTCCATCCACTTGTCCTTTGTATTCTAATGTGTAGTGTGGTAACTTGTGCCAATGCAGCTGTGTGTTAGGTTCTACTTTAATTTTGCCTGCCTGTCTGTCTGTTTGTCTGTCTATCGAAGGAACTGATATCTCCTCTGAGAATTCGGTCAGTAATGATGACTGTTTTTCTATTTACTAACTCATCATTAACATTCTTAGGGTTCATTCAATCAGCCTAAAAAGAATCAGACGACATTGAAAGTATATCTGATGTGAATGATTTACATCCTAATAAATTATGACTCCCTTTCACCAGATAACTAGTAAAAAGGATTGTAGATGCCAACTCCATGGTTGAATGACAGGGTGACTGTAACAAGATATAAAGGTACGTTTCTAATGCTATATTAGTTCGAGAAAACACACCACTGAAGAACTTCTAACTGAAACTGAAACAATTTTCTATGATCCTTTGATTTTTCAAGGTAATTTAACTGATGTAGATCTGTATCATAGAAAATCCATCTTGAGAGCAGTGAGTTTCGTGGCAAACTACCATTCAAATGAGTAAAATATTTCTTGTTACTTCATGTCGAACCAGTGGTATTTTCACTTTTTAATAATTTATTCACTTTACATAGACCAGTCATCTTTCTTTTATTCAAAAGGTAACACATATGCATATTATCTCATCATTATTACGATTATTATTGTCCAACTTTTGTCAAGACAAGGTGAATAAGACTGAATTGCTAATCCACTTATCTCAATTGTCAACAAATCGATTATTTCATTGAGGTGTATAAAAGTTATACATCTAACAGTGGTGTTGGTATCCATATTATGTGCATGGCTGCTCTTAGTTGAGAGAGCGATTTGTCTGATTAGTTCTGACAACAAACAACACTTTAATCTACCAAGCAATAGACTGGTACTCTGTTCTTGTTTACAGCACGGCTTGTATTGCTTCTATATAGTGATGTGGTCGTATTCCTGCTGGTATAGTGACAATTTTTACTTCTTATAAGGAAAAGCAATACATTTAGGTCTCACGAAATTGGGCGATAATAAGTCTGTGATGTCCTCAGATGTCCGGGGATACAGGTGCGCTACAGTGATGGTGCCAGTAAGTCTTGAAACTCAGCCTGAAAGGGTTAGATAGACTGTTTCATCACAGTTGTAACTGGGATCGCAGCTTGCAACTATTCACCACGAAGGTGGAATTCCTGGTAAGTGAAAGTCATTAACTTCATCTGATTACATCCTTGTTTTTTGTACAAACTTCCCGTAGCTACTACCGACTAAATGAATTAGTGAAGTCGTTGGATTGATGTTTTTTAAAGTGGCTTTACTACTCGACTGATGCTGAGATGACCTGAGCTGATTATTTAGAGGAAGTGAAAGTAGTAGCCAAGTGTCCATGGGTATGAAAGGAGAATCATCGGCTTACTGATCATAATTAATTTAAGCTTATCAATGATTTGAACTTTTTGGAGACGTTTTCAGAATTTATAGACCTTTTGTAAGGACAGTATTTCTATATGTTAATTTCATTTGACTGTGTCCTCATTCACATTTAGAAAATCCTAATACATGATTCAGGGTTTATTGAAACAGAGTAATTCAATATTTGTGGTATAAAATGGAAATCTACTGTTTTTCAAATGAAATCATGAATAGCCAAAGTTAAAATTTGACTATCTGAGAAAACGTAGGTGTTTTATATTCCGTAAAACGAACAAGAATGAGTATGACAGTTAATTTCATTAGTTATCAAACCCGCTATATGCCAGCATGAAATTAAACAAACAAAACAAACTATTTTAGGTAACACCCATAGATGCGAAGCCAGGATATGCAAACTGCGGTAGGGTGCATCAAATTAATTCAGTTATTCCTAGTTCGTTTTAATGCAAATCTCCCGCTTACCAGTGAAAGTAAATTAGTTATCTCAACAGTTTGACTATTTGAAATAGGTGTGGTTTGGCAGACTAGTATTGATAATGAGTGATGAGTGAAGGTCAAATGAAAATTTGAACTTCGGTAGGATTCAAACCAGTGACCACTGGGTATTCAGCTCCATGCTTTATCAACTGAGCTACGAGACATGGGTGCTGACCACACTTTTATTTCGTTTCAGTCACCAAGGATTTCTGCCCAATTGCCATGAAAATTCGTAACGCGTTACTATCCCTTGATGGTACTCATAATAGCTGCCCAGTCCGGACTTTTCAATTAGAGAGAGTGGGAGCATCATATTGATTATCTGAGATAGCCGTTCTTTAGTAGACTTGCATTGATACTCTGTGATGATTAAAGATGAAATGAAAATTTAGCCCGTGACAGGATTCGGACCAACGATCACTAGGTTTCTTCATAATCAAATTCTAATAGCAGATTATATCGACAGGCTTATAGACTACTTTAAGACCGACTGGTTAAACATTGTAATATGTTTGCAAACATGACAGTCAGCAATAGGCTGAATCTAGTGGTTGTTTCGTTTATACGCCTGTGTATGTCTGTGTATGTTTTTGCCTCACTTAGCAATTCAATCTACATCATTTTTCCTAATCATAGTGAAAACAGTTTAGACGTGTCAGCAGTGAGACAAGTGATGGAGTATGCAAGCGTAAACCATCTTTGTCTGACTCATTGGAAAAGATTGAGTCAATGTAAGGAGAATTCATTGTGAAACTAGGCTTTTCATTTCAGATAGATACATCATATTCATGTACAAAAGGCGATTGTTACAATCGCCTTTTGACCCTCAGCCTACCAATTTGACCAGATATATTAATCACTTCTGAGTAATTTTTTATGCAGTTACTGTGATTAACCTTCAAAGTTAAGTATGAGTAACTTTATTTCTGTCTTTTCAGAAAATACTAAATATCTATCTAAATATTATTGATGGTTAATTTCTATTTGATAAGATAATTTGTACACTAACTTCAGTTCTTATCGAATATCGATATAAGTTCCACCTATGGACAGCGATTTATCCTATTATAGGCGAAT